GAGACACCTCCTATCACCACAAATATATGCTAACGATATGTCTCTTACCACTCGACAGCAAGACTTCAAATACTCGTTCACCGAATGCGATGGCGACGGCCGATGGCGGGTATCGGTGCCCATCAGCCCCAACACGTGCGTCGGCGGCGCCCCCAACGCGCCCATACGTGTCCCCAAATGCTGTCCGTATAGCCATTGTCTCGCATCTCTGAACCCAATTATCTTATCCATTGTCTCTCGTTTGTCACCCATTTCTCGTAGACATGTCGTGCGATTCCGGGCACTTCTTAAACACGTCGGCGCTCTCGTGCTACCCGTGCGCTCCCGGCTCCTACTCCCTGGGCGGCGGCATCCGTATCGAGTCGTTCAACACCTCATTGCCGTCCGGTTTTCACGTCACCACCTCTACGATCAATACGTCCGGCACTTGTACTGGTGAGCGCCGCCTATCCCTACCATTGAATCCCTTTCCCCATTGATTAGTGTACTTAATATGCGGTGTCTTTGTGGTGATGATCACCAAAGGGTGGAGAGTTGTGTCGAATTACATGGAATCGCAATCCAATGCCACTAACGATGGCTGTGTGTCGAAGATGTCATATACGGTACGAGTCGTGAAAAAAGGCAAATTGAGTTTCCGGTACCAGTACTCCATACCGGACGACCTCACGAACGCCATACTCTTCACGTTTCAATACCACAATTACGACGACTCGGATGGCGACCAGGGCTTCGACTCGACCGTCAACTCCAAGTTCCCGGCCGCCACTGAACAGCAGAAGTGGAAAGACATCCAAATAGAGCTGTCGAAACCGGGACTGTATGTGTTTGTGTGGCGATCCGTACTGATAGGCCGTTCGCGTGGATATTTCCCGAACACTGTAGGCCTCCGATCGTCGATATTTGGCGGTCGAAGCGCTTCTCATTCCGACTCCGGGTTCATACGAATCAAGAATGTGTTCGTCGACGGCGTGGCCTTTGCCTCGGAGTGCACGGCCTGTGAACCGGGAACCTTCTCAGACACGTTGGGCGCCGAGATGTGCACTCCCTGTCCGCCAAATACGGCGTTCCCCGGGAGAGGTGCCACGAAATGCAATGATTGCGATCCGCGCGACAAGTATTCGCCCAAAGGGTCGGCCTATTGTCTACAGAAACCCATTTGCGGCCGCAATGACTACTACAGCATCGACTCGGACTGCGATCTCCAGAGGCGTCGCAAACGTATTGATTACAAATGGATTGAACCGCAGATATGTCGCGACACTAATGGAGTGCTACCGAAGTGGGAGTACAAGGAGTGTAACGACACGACAATCGCCGACAAACTCTTGGATTCGTGTAATTTGGGCCAAGAGTTGACCGACGATAGGAAGTGCCGCTTCTGCGACGACAATCACTATCGCGACGAGACTATGGATAGTTGCCGGTCGTGCCCGCCCTCCACCTCTCCCGCCTACGCTCTGTCCTATAAGGTGTGGCACCCGTTGCCCGAGTTTATGAGCACAGAGTGCGTGCGAATGGTCGAGGAGTCGGAGTACGAGTGCGATTCGGACATCTCGTGGCAGTCCTACCCGGACGTCAAGCGCTACATACGGACCGGTCCGTCGACACAGTTGGGCGCCTACCTGTTCCTCACGCTATCGCTGCCGGGCTTTCGGAAGCAAAATGGCGGCGAAATTACCTTCAAGTTTGAGGTGGAGTGCGACGCCGGCGACTACTGTCTGTTCCTGTTTATGGAGAGCCGACGTAACGCTAAACTATCGCAACAGACGAACATCATTAAGGAATGGGACCACAAGTCGATTGGTGTCCAGTCATACAGATATCAAATACAACAAAACATATCCCTGTCTTTCAGTTGGATTTTTCAGAGGAATTACAGCTTTCAGAGCAACGCCAAGATCTACGAGATAACGGTTACGAACCCATTGGTGGGCTCCGCCATCAGATGCAATCCCTGTCCCCTGTCGAACGTCGCCTATTGTATTACCTGTCCGGCCGGTCAGTACTTCGAGACACTGGAGTCGAATCGGACGGAGAAAATGCACGAAATCGAGAGCACTCGCAGTCGGAACCGATTGGCGTCCAAAGTGCTCCAGAAGTGCAGACAGTGTCCCAAAAGCACTGTAATCAACGCCAGCATAGCCTTCCCTATCGGCGCCCGTAACTCATGCGTCGAGTGCGGCGTCGGTCTAATCGACGACCGAGGAGTGAGTTGTTATAGCGACTGTCATCTGGACATCGATGGCGACTCGTTTGACTTGAGTCAAGTGAAGCAGCCCTTCCTCCACAGTGGGGGCCGACTGTTCACAGCGAGCGGTACACAGTATTACCATTTGTTTAATATAACACTCTGTGGGCGACCGGACTTTCGCGCCAATTGTGTCAACAACATCACAGCCATCGAAAGCGCCGGCGATAACGCCGACGCCACTGCCGAAGAATACGGCATCCGATCGATGATCTGTCGGTCGACGATAATCCCCGACAGGGAGCAGACGTTCGCCACGCAATCCGTCAGTTTAGGTACTTATCGATGAGTTTATAATTAGTTTATTTTCGATGATTAAAGCAATTGTTTGTCTCATTCGCGTGTTTAGGCGACCAATTGATAGGCATAACCCGCGCCACCACCTACCAGAACATTACCGTTCACGAGGAGTTCCAGACAACGAACAGTGATATACACTTCTACTACTCGACTCGGGTGCCGACCGCCGCCTGTCCCGCGGGCCGTCGCCTGACGCTAACCCTGCGCTGTGCGCCCCAACTCGAGCGGAACCTGTCGATCGCGACGCCCACCGCGTGTCCGGACGGCACGTGCGACGGCTGTACTTTCCATCTGCTGGTCAAGACCAAGACGGCGGCCGCGTGTCGTCT